TCATTTATGTTCTTTACTTTGCCTGCATTACTTCTCAATCTCACTCTTCAACATCTTCAATTACTTATTTTCTCTCCTGCCTGCACAATCTTAATGTTTTAGTTCTCATACCCTAAATTGTGCCAAATAGTCTTTGCGTCGAATTTTATAGACTAAAACGGATTAAGAAAGTGTATACTTGTGAACTAAACGAGTAAACTCCAAGTGCAACGACTAAGACGAACAAATCTGGCACCAAATGTTTGATTAGGCATTTACCTGATGAGTTTGATGCTGCTCATAATTTGAATTGCACATTTATGATATCATGATCTGGATATCGTATGTCGTAATGAGCATATTGTAGTGTGTTTGGATGAGCGGTTACAAAGTTGATTTTGATATTTGATTTCGGTTAAAATTGACATTGAAGTTTTGTTATTTATGTTTGGATGTTTTATTGTAAAAACAAGTTTGTAGTAAGACTCAGTTTAATTTTTTTTATCAGTGCAAAAGCTACCTAAAGTTTCTTCAATAAGGAATTAATTATGGATTCAGAATTGTTGTAGAATTCAAAGTGAAACAGTTTGCATCTAATCCCTTTAGCTGTTATTAAGAGGTCATCTTTATTCGTTATTTAATCTCATGTGGAAGCCTTTGTATTTTTACAGATCAGCATGACATTGAACATATCAGCAGATTTGCAGTCCCTTTTTACATGGAACACAAAACAGGTTATTCCCTTTAATTTTGATTTTTCATTTAAAGTGCTTTGTCTTTACTCCATTTGCCTCTCAAAAGTAAGAAGGCTGTTCTTGGTTGGAGGAGCGAGAATGAAAATTTATAATGTTTTCATGCCTTGTCATATTATCAACTATGCCCATGTTTTGGTTGAATTTATTCTGGAAAGGTTACCCCTCTCAGTGAGAGTTTTTAGAGAAAGTGAAACATTATTTCTTCAACTTGATCCTTACGAAATGAGTGTTTGTTTTCTTTTCTATGCTTCCCAGCATAGTGCGTATCTTAATGTTTAAATTGTCTTGCCTATTATTATATCATGTTTAATTTCATGATATATATCTATTCTTGCCCATTCTTTTTTCTGTGTACAAAAATTGTATTTCTGTGGAAACCTTGGTTCTGCTTTATTTTTCTTACCCATGAGATTATTATATCTGACTAGTTATTATTGCAAATATTTTGGAAGCTATAATTTCAGGTCTGTCCATGGACATAGTTTTTTTCATTTTGTATGGTTGCAGGTTTTTGTTTTTCTTGCTGCCGAGTATGAAACTCCTAAGCATTCCGTGAATCAGGTATGAGCACATTTGTTTGTTTGTATCTGCATTTGAAATATAATTATTTCTATTATAAGTTTTCCAGCTCCTTTTTATAACGGAAAAAAATAGAAAGAGACCATAAGAATGGTGCTAGATTTTATTTATACTATTCATGTCACTCGATAGCTTGCGTGCTATTTATCTCCTATGTTGTGTCATGAATGTTGCTTAGGTTCTTGAATTCCATTTTACAGATATCTCTATGGGATGGTATTATACCCTCTAAAGAGCATGCCAAGTTTTGGATTCATACATCAAATAAGTACCGCTTCATTGACCAGGTACACAAATCTAAGCATGTTTTATGACTAATATATGATTTGCTTCATATTTCTTTAAGCCTTAATATTTTTATTTTTTCATGTTCAGGGAAGCAATTTGCGCGGCAAAGAATATAACCTGACTATTCATTGGCATGTTATGCCTAAGACTGGCAAAATGTTTGCAGATAAAATAGTCATGCCAGGTTTCAGATTGCCAGAGGAATATAGATGATGTCTTGTAATGTTAATTCTCTAGCTGTAACTCTAACCTTTTCTATGTCGGTTAGTTCAAAGAAACTAGAATCATGGAGATTGTGTTTTGGAAAGTGAAATCAATAGAGTTTGAATGATACCTAAACATTAGAAGTTTGATTTTAGTCTTCAAATGTCTCTTGAGAAAAAGGATATATATGTGGTGTTCGCTTGGAGCTTTTGAAATTGTCAATCAATTAGAAGCAATAACTCTCTGCCTTGAGGAAGAAAATAATAGCTTTATTGAGGTAGTTTTTTCATAGCAGTTGAAAATTTATATTAAGCTTTACAACTTTTGAAAACGAAAGCATACAGACATAAACATCATGTCACTTGATAATCATTGTTATAAAATTACTTGCATCCAAAATTAATATTAACATTGCACTAATTCAATTGGTAACCTATATTTCAGGTGTAATATTGAGATAAAATCTGAATTGTTGAAATTTTGTTAAATGATTTTAATTTACCGGTTGATCCATGAAATGTAGTTGTCATGATCATTAATGGGAGAGTCACTAGGGTTGAATATGTGGTAGGATTTTGTTAACATGGATGTGAAGAGTTCTTGAGATGTTTAAGTTTCTTGTGAAAATATTTGTTATTGGGGTATGAGTGCGAAGGTGCAGAGAGATTTGGATTTGTTATTATCATGACAGCAAGTGTGATGACGTTCAAGTTCTTCATATGTTAAGGTATTTATGTCTTGGGAGTAGGAGTTCGTCATTTGAGGATTACGAGTTTGTGATACAAGACAACAAGTGTGATGGCATTGCGGGTTGGTTTCTTTTGAGGGTTTTATCATTTATTGTTGGATCTGGGGTTTTGTGTTTCTTTGTCTATCGGTTGTGGTCTCCCATTTATGCATTAGTGTTGGACTCTTCTGAGGGTGAGTTGTAATATATGTTTTTTTGTGTACATGGTTATTTGACATTGTAATTGTATTTTATTTATGGGTTAAATATATTTTTAGTTTCTAAACTATCAAGAGAATTTGTTTTTAGTCTCTCTTTCAAAGTAAGGTATACTTTAATTAACGTTTTTGTTAAATAGAAGGACTAAAATGTATCTTACTTTTAAAGAAAGACTAAAAACAAATTTTTTTGATAATTTAGGGATTAAAAACATATTTAATCCTCTATTTATTTATATATAGGTTGACACGATTAGATAATATTATTGAAGTGGTGGTTCTTCATGGTAGGATATTTGTTAATAATGGGATATTGACAATAGTGGTAAATAAACACATTGTCTTACGAACCAAATAGATGGGGTATTTTGTGATATTAAAGATACTTAAGGAAATGGGATATATTGTAATCAATGAGATGTGGTATATTATAAACAATGCGATTGTATTGGATAAAAGTTTGCAGCTTTTTGGTGATGACTATGGTGTGTGCATATGATAGATATTGACGGGCGTGTGTGAAAACCATGACTTGTGCATTATGTATTTTTTGAAGTTGCACCATTTCTTTTATAATGTATGATGCAATTTTTTTAAGGACATATATCTCGTTATTGTTATGGGATATGTATCTCTTTTGTTGTTAAATATTCAAAACAACGTGTCTCTTTAAATGAACGTGTTATAGGTTATAGGTTGAGGGTTTAGAGTTTAAAATAATTTTTTATATAAACTAAGATAATTAGTATATTTAAATTTATAATTAAACATGACTGTATAATCAAAAAGGGATTATATTGTTTGTTCAAATATAAATACTTTGCCTTTATATAAAAAATACTTCACCTCCATAGGTAGTGAAATTACCATTTTTGTTCTTATCTTCTCCATTTCTTTTCTTTTTTTTTTCTTCCTATACCAGTCATGCATCCCCTTTGCAAATTCTTCTTCAATATAGTTACATTCCATGCAGTGGTTTCTCCTTTGCAAATGTAAATTTTTCACTCTGTCAGAGTTAATAAAATCTTTCTCCAATTAAGTTGTCTTAGCAACTTGCTTTATTTGAAAAATATATTTAAACTGTACAACTTTAAATAAGTTTTTATTCTATTTGGTATAAAATATAATTTAGAATATAAATTTGTATTATTAATTGTATTTCAAGTTTTATTTTTACTAAGAAATATGCAACTTGAAACACAATTGACAATATGGATTTGTATTTTATATAGTACATTTTATAATACAAATTTAAATTTTCTATTAAGTTCAGAATATATTTTTTATTATGTATCCTAGATTGTATTATATAAAATATAATCTAAAATAAAAAGTTATTCTAAATTACATATTCCATAATATAAATTTGTAGTTGGAATTGTGTATCTTATACTGCATTTTTTTATGTTGTATTTTATCTTTACCATCAATAATACAAATTTATATTCTAGATTATACATTTCAAAAAAAAAATATATTAATATTTAATGTTCTAAATGGTATAATCTATGAAGTTTCTAAATTACGCAATTCAGAAATGAAACATGAAATCTAAAATATAAGATAAATTTGAAATTTTTATATTTATAGAGATGCAGTTTGAAATCATAGGGTGCAAGAAGAATTGCCCTTGTTTTGTTTTATGTTCATATTGAGTGGGCTGTCAATGGGCCTTCTCGAAAAAGTCTAGAAACTCCATTTTTTTTTAACATTGAAATGGAAAGTCAGCAATTCATTTTCAACCATTTATTAGTTTCGGGTCGGGTAAAACCCAAATCGAGCATCGGATCATTCTACCCACCCAAATCTGAAAAACCAGTTCCTTCTTCACCATCAAACTCACTCACATCGCAGCTTCAAAAACCGAAGATNTTTTGATTTTTCATTTAAAGTGCTTTGTCTTTACTCCATTTGCCTCTCAAAAGTAAGAAGGCTGTTCTTGGTTGGAGGAGCGAGAATGAAAATTTATAATGTTTTCATGCCTTGTCATATTATCAACTTTGCCCATGTTTTGGTTGAATTTATTCTGGAAAGGTTACCCCTCTCAGTGAGAGTTTTTAGAGAAAGTGAAACATTATTTCTTCAACTTGATCCTTACGAAATGAGTGTTTGTTTTCTTTTCTATGCTTCCCAGCATAGTGCGTATCTTAATGTTTAAATTGTCTTGCCTATTATTATATCATGTTTAATTTCATGATATATATCTATTCTTGCCCATTCTTTTTTCTGTGTACAAAAATTGTATTTCTGTGGAAACCTTGGTTCTGCTTTATTTTTCTTACCCATGAGATTATTATATCTGACTAGTTATTATTGCAAATATTTTGGAAGCTATAATTTCAGGTCTGTCCATGGACATAGTTTTTTTCATTTTGTATGGTTGCAGGTTTTTGTTTTTCTTGCTGCCGAGTATGAAACTCCTAAGCATTCCGTGAATCAGGTATGAGCACATTTGTTTGTTTGTATCTGCATTTGAAATATAATTATTTCTATTATAAGTTTTCCAGCTCCTTTTTATAACGGAAAAAAATAGAAAGAGACCATAAGAATGGTGCTAGATTTTATTTATACTATTCATGTCACTCGATAGCTTGCGTGCTATTTATCTCCTATGTTGTGTCATGAATGTTGCTTAGGTTCTTGAATTCCATTTTACAGATATCTCTATGGGATGGTATTATACCCTCTAAAGAGCATGCCAAGTTTTGGATTCATACATCAAATAAGTACCGCTTCATTGACCAGGTACACAAATCTAAGCATGTTTTATGACTAATATATGATTTGCTTCATATTTCTTTAAGCCTTAATATTTTTATTTTTTCATGTTCAGGGAAGCAATTTGCGCGGCAAAGAATATAACCTGACTATTCATTGGCATGTTATGCCTAAGACTGGCAAAATGTTTGCAGATAAAATAGTCATGCCAGGTTTCAGATTGCCAGAGGAATATAGATGATGTCTTGTAATGTTAATTCTCTAGCTGTAACTCTAACCTTTTCTATGTCGGTTAGTTCAAAGAAACTAGAATCATGGAGATTGTGTTTTGGAAAGTGAAATCAATAGAGTTTGAATGATACCTAAACATTAGAAGTTTGATTTTAGTCTTCAAATGTCTCTTGAGAAAAAGGATATATATGTGGTGTTCGCTTGGAGCTTTTGAAATTGTCAATCAATTAGAAGCAATAACTCTCTGCCTTGAGGAAGAAAATAATAGCTTTATTGAGGTAGTTTTTTCATAGCAGTTGAAAATTTATATTAAGCTTTACAACTTTTGAAAACGAAAGCATACAGACATAAACATCATGTCACTTGATAATCATTGTTATAAAATTACTTGCATCCAAAATTAATATTAACATTGCACTAATTCAATTGGTAACCTATATTTCAGGTGTAATATTGAGATAAAATCTGAATTGTTGAAATTTTGTTAAATGATTTTAATTTACCGGTTGATCCATGAAATGTAGTTGTCATGATCATTAATGGGAGAGTCACTAGGGTTGAATATGTGGTAGGATTTTGTTAACATGGATGTGAAGAGTTCTTGAGATGTTTAAGTTTCTTGTGAAAATATTTGTTATTGGGGTATGAGTGCGAAGGTGCAGAGAGATTTGGATTTGTTATTATCATGACAGCAAGTGTGATGACGTTCAAGTTCTTCATATGTTAAGGTATTTATGTCTTGGGAGTAGGAGTTCGTCATTTGAGGATTACGAGTTTGTGATACAAGACAACAAGTGTGATGGCATTGCGGGTTGGTTTCTTTTGAGGGTTTTATCATTTATTGTTGGATCTGGGGTTTTGTGTTTCTTTGTCTATCGGTTGTGGTCTCCCATTTATGCATTAGTGTTGGACTCTTCTGAGGGTGAGTTGTAATATATGTTTTTTTGTGTACATGGTTATTTGACATTGTAATTGTATTTTATTTATGGGTTAAATATATTTTTAGTTTCTAAACTATCAAGAGAATTTGTTTTTAGTCTCTCTTTCAAAGTAAGGTATACTTTAATTAACGTTTTTGTTAAATAGAAGGACTAAAATGTATCTTACTTTTAAAGAAAGACTAAAAACAAATTTTTTTGATAATTTAGGGATTAAAAACATATTTAATCCTCTATTTATTTATATATAGGTTGACACGATTAGATAATATTATTGAAGTGGTGGTTCTTCATGGTAGGATATTTGTTAATAATGGGATATTGACAATAGTGGTAAATAAACACATTGTCTTACGAACCAAATAGATGGGGTATTTTGTGATATTAAAGATACTTAAGGAAATGGGATATATTGTAATCAATGAGATGTGGTATATTATAAACAATGCGATTGTATTGGATAAAAGTTTGCAGCTTTTTGGTGATGACTATGGTGTGTGCATATGATAGATATTGACGGGCGTGTGTGAAAACCATGACTTGTGCATTATGTATTTTTTGAAGTTGCACCATTTCTTTTATAATGTATGATGCAATTTTTTTAAGGACATATATCTCGTTATTGTTATGGGATATGTATCTCTTTTGTTGTTAAATATTCAAAACAACGTGTCTCTTTAAATGAACGTGTTATAGGTTATAGGTTGAGGGTTTAGAGTTTAAAATAATTTTTTATATAAACTAAGATAATTAGTATATTTAAATTTATAATTAAACATGACTGTATAATCAAAAAGGGATTATATTGTTTGTTCAAATATAAATACTTTGCCTTTATATAAAAAATACTTCACCTCCATAGGTAGTGAAATTACCATTTTTGTTCTTATCTTCTCCATTTCTTTTCTTTTTTTTTTCTTCCTATACCAGTCATGCATCCCCTTTGCAAATTCTTCTTCAATATAGTTACATTCCATGCAGTGGTTTCTCCTTTGCAAATGTAAATTTTTCACTCTGTCAGAGTTAATAAAATCTTTCTCCAATTAAGTTGTCTTAGCAACTTGCTTTATTTGAAAAATATATTTAAACTGTACAACTTTAAATAAGTTTTTATTCTATTTGGTATAAAATATAATTTAGAATATAAATTTGTATTATTAATTGTATTTCAAGTTTTATTTTTACTAAGAAATATGCAACTTGAAACACAATTGACAATATGGATTTGTATTTTATATAGTACATTTTATAATACAAATTTAAATTTTCTATTAAGTTCAGAATATATTTTTTATTATGTATCCTAGATTGTATTATATAAAATATAATCTAAAATAAAAAGTTATTCTAAATTACATATTCCATAATATAAATTTGTAGTTGGAATTGTGTATCTTATACTGCATTTTTTTATGTTGTATTTTATCTTTACCATCAATAATACAAATTTATATTCTAGATTATACATTTCAAAAAAAAAATATATTAATATTTAATGTTCTAAATGGTATAATCTATGAAGTTTCTAAATTACGCAATTCAGAAATGAAACATGAAATCTAAAATATAAGATAAATTTGAAATTTTTATATTTATAGAGATGCAGTTTGAAATCATAGGGTGCAAGAAGAATTGCCCTTGTTTTGTTTTATGTTCATATTGAGTGGGCTGTCAATGGGCCTTCTCGAAAAAGTCTAGAAACTCCATTTTTTTTTAACATTGAAATGGAAAGTCAGCAATTCATTTTCAACCATTTATTAGTTTCGGGTCGGGTAAAACCCAAATCGAGCATCGGATCATTCTACCCACCCAAATCTGAAAAACCAGTTCCTTCTTCACCATCAAACTCACTCACATCGCAGCTTCAAAAACCGAAGATTCCTTCAACGATCTGCGACCCTCGCGTGTTGCATCCCCATCTCCCACTCCAAACAAAGCCATTATCTATCGAAGGAAAGAGAAAGCGAATCAGAAAGTAAAAAAGAGAAAATGGGGTTTGGTTTGCTAGCTTCGAAGGCCGTCAGGCCCACCTCGAGGCTCCTCCTCTCTTCCCAAAACCCTACCATTTTCCTCCGAACCATCGTCTCCAAGCCTCAGCTTTGCAATCCCGAGGCCTCCGCCGCGCAGCCGGCGCAGCCACCACCCGTCGATCTTCCGCCGCGGACTCCGCTCGCCGGCGCGCGCGTCCACTTCTCAAACCCCGACGATGCCATCGAGGTCTTCGTGGACGGTTACCCCGTGAAAATCCCCAAGGGAATGACCGTTCTCCAGGCCTGCGAGGTCGCCGGCGTCGATATCCCGCGGTTCTGCTACCACAGCAGACTCTCCATCGCCGGAAATTGTCGCATGTGCCTCGTCGAGGTCGAGAAATCGCCCAAACCTGTCGCTTCTTGCGCCATGCCCGCTCTTCCTGGTTAGCTCATACCATTTGTGTTAGAGTGATGATTTGCGTGTCTGTTTTGTGATTATCCTCTATGATGATGATTTAGATCGTTAGATTTTGATAGTTTTGGTGATTCGAGTGATTATGTGTATCGTGACTTATTTTAGTTTGATTATTTGAGTCTGATTTCCGCTGGATAGAATTTTAGATTGGCATTCTCGAACTTAATTGTTGAGTTTCAGGTTTCTTGATGTTGTTCAGTTTTCTTAAGTCGTTGGAATAGTTGTCAACTTTGATCGGTTGATGTCGTATGAACATTACAATTTGTGGATGATGGTGATGCTCGAGATATTCGATTAAGTTATATTGAATACATCATTTAGTCGCCAGCTGACATATATGCGTTCTGTAATAGAGTTTAATTTATATCCATCGACCTTTTAAAATTTTGTAGATAACTCAGACAGAAATTTGATTAGATGACTTTAAGATAGTTAGGCGAACTCAACAAACTTGTTCTACATGACAATTTATTGCTCATTTTGCAGCTTTTATGTGAAGTAGTTTGTGCACAATTTCATTACTTTAGTTTTTCTCTCTTTTTCTTTATTTGCACCGTAGTGTATTGTTATTTTTAAAATTTTAAATTTTAAATTTTAAATGTCAGACATTTGGAGGAGAAATCATAATTTGCCAGTCGGTTTTGCTTGTGGTGTCTTCGTTTTCTTGATCAGATATTACTTAATTTATATTCATATACAGTCAAACGCACAAAAACAGATAAGCATCCTTGGATTTTGTTTAATGAAGTTTTTAACCAGTTGCTGCTATGATTCTTATTGAACATGTAGTCTAATAAGATAAGATGTTCATCTTCAGGGATGAAAATTAAGACTGACACACCTGTGGCAAAGAAGGCTCGAGAGGGGGTGATGGAGTTTTTATTGATGAATCATCCATTAGATTGCCCAATTTGTGATCAAGGTGGGGAATGTGATCTTCAGGATCAGTCTATGGCATTCGGTTCTGATCGCGGCCGGTTTACTGAAGTGAAGAGATCTGTGGTAGATAAAAATCTTGGACCTCTGGTGAAGACTGTGATGACTCGGTGCATTCAATGTACAAGGTCAATATTGGACTATACTTCATAATATTTACCCCTGCAAATCTGATTGTTGTGAATGCAGATTTTAGTATTCTGTTTTCCCCTGCAAATCTTGCTACTATTAATGCAGATTTTAATATTCTATTTTTCCCTGCACATCTGGTTATTGGGAATGCGATTTTAATAAAAAAAACTATATGTTGGAAGTCGTGTTTATGACTTTCTTTTAATAGTTTATTTAAAATACTGTGAAATACTTTGATCTGTAGAATTTTCATTTGAATAGTATTCTTGTAAAATTTAAGGACCCTCTATGTTGCATAATTCTGTTCAAAATGAAATAGTGTTTATTATAGTTAATGAAAGTTCACGGGTCAATTTAACTTGCATATGCTGAAAGTGTGTGATTGTTTTGTTACTTTTTGATGTCAGCTGAGGGTCAGCTTTGGTTTTTGTTTCTGCTTTTGACATTTGGCATGTGTTTTTAATGTTTGAAACCCAACCTTTGACATTTTAGAAACTCTTCTTGCTATCAGTTAAATTGCCTTGGTAAAACAATGTTGTCTGGATGCTTGAAAGTCTGAGTGCTTGAAAGGGATCTGGTGGAATGTTTCTTTATTGCAACAGGTGTGTTAGATTTGCCACTGAGGTCGCTGGGGTTCAGGATCTTGGCATGTTAGGTCGTGGAAGTGGAGAAGA